CGGCTGCTGCCAGTCGCCGCGGCCCAGGGCGCAGCCCTGCGTTCCCTCGCCTCCCCGGCGGGCGGGCGAGCTCTGCAGCGCGGTGGCGGCGGCGGCTCATTACCATAGACCTGCTCGCGCCGCCGCCGCCTTAAAGCGGCGACGCCCGCCAAGCCGTAGGAGGTGGGCCCCACCTAGCGCCCGCCTCCGTACCGACGCTCTAGGAGGTCTGCCAGCCCGACCCTCCATCCCAGTCCCCCAGGGCCTGCCCAGATCCCTTCTACAGCCTAGAGAGGAATTAATCGGAAGCCGGACAGCCAATGGTAATAATGGTGGCAGAACCCGAAAGACACTAGAGGTTTTCAAAACATTTTGAAGTGCCCTCAGAGGCCAAGTCTCCACCTCATACCACCCGTAAGAGTGGTTGTTCATCATTGCTGTCTCCTCCAGGTCCCGGGTCAGACTGAGCTAAAAGGGCCCTGCTCAACACTGCAAACCCTGCCCTAAATCCCAGAGAGACACCCCACAGTGAGGCCCTGAGCCCCCACCCCCACCCTCACCGCTCAGCAAGGCTGTGGTCTGACTGGGATGCCCCTTGGGGTCCAGCTTCTGGGCAGAATGACCCCAGCCTCATCTTGAACACCACTTGGGCTTTCCAGGGGGAGATGAGCTGGGAGTGTCAGCGGGTAGAAGCCAGCTGATACAGATACACTAATATCACCAGATTCTGAGGCTGGTTGGGGTGGAGCTGAGCTTTAACCCAGGCTTACCGGGTCCTAGGCAAGTGGCTTGCACTGCCCCACCCACCAAGCCTCTTGTCTGGATAGATGGCACTGCCCCTCCTTCATTCCTATCACTGTCCAGCTGCTGCCCCCTCCTTCACCCACAGTTTTGTGACGGGCAAATAACCCTGACCAGTGCACAGGGCTCCTGAGCCTCTTGACAGCATAGGCAATGGGTCCTTACACTTGGAGCCGTGTGCAGAATTCCAGGAGTCCTCAGAGGTCCAGACGTGAAGCTGGACCAAGAAAAAGGGCCAGCCGGAGAGGTGGAGAGCAATCCAGAAAAGGCTCCCACTTATACCCCACAGCAGCAAGCGGCCTGGTCAGGTGGTATAAGCGCTGTTTGGGGAGGGTTCCTGGGCTTAGTCCCAGCACTGCCCTCCCCCGCCCCTAGCTGTATGACCTTGGTCAAATTTTGTACCTCAATTTTTCTCTTGTAAAAGTGAGGAGACTGAATAGGGTCAATGGTTTTCAAAAGTTTATTTAGCAGTAGAATCCTTTTTTCTAATGAAATCTGAAGTAGAAGGCCAGAATATGAAACAGATGAGTAGCACTCCCGGGTTGAAGTGGGGGTTCAGGGCCTTGCTGATCCCCACTGTTCCCCCAACCAAGAAATCTCTGGGCTGCTCTGTGGAACTTGAGGGACTGGAGGAACCCAGTTGAAAAGCACTGGATTAGGTGTTCCCTTCCAACACTGCCCTCTGGTCACAGCAGTGTCACTCAGTTGGTCACTGCAGAGGACCCACCTGGCCCTAGGCCCAGAGAGTTTCTGTGTGACCACGCAGCAATGCCAAAGATGAAAAATCAGCTTTTTTCCTTCTCCCCAGGGGAGTAGAAAAGGAGATGGGCCTTGGGTACAGGAGGAAGAATTAGGGTTAGACTCTGTTCCCGGCAGTGGTGGGCAGGCAGAATAGAGAGAAGGAGGTGGGAGGAGGACCCATGGCTCAGGGAAATACCCTCCCCATCAACCAAAAGTGAGGCTTCTTCCTCTGAGCATGGCCAAGGGCAGCTGCAGAGATGGGGGGGTGGTGTACGCGGCCTTGGCAGGGCTCTGCCTCTCCAGATTTCCATTGCCTCCGTGGTTTGGGAGGACCTAGGGCCTGCATGGGCATCTTGCTCTTCACCTAATAGCCATGTGGTGCAGAGAATTCTCGGAAATTATACCATCTGTTAATTATCCTTTGAATTGGGGTTGGGTAATGAGACTCTCATTTCTTTTTTTTTTTTTTTTTTTTTTTTTTTTTTTTTTTTTTTTTTTTTTTCT